TGGCCACGGCACTTGGACAAGATTCCATGCACAAAATGCCAAAGGTGTTGCACGGATAAAGAGGGAAATGCTGGGCGCAAATATCTCGAGCCTCGGACACTCCGTCCACGTACGGCGCGCATGGACGCGCACGGCTTAGGACTCTCCGTCCGCTAACATGAGCACGGACCACACGTGAACCTTCGGTCACTCCGCCCACCAACACGGACGAGGAATAGCGCACGGTCTCCATGACTTGTGTCGGGCGGAGCTTACGAACAAGTGCACTCACATGCACGGCCTCACACTAGCATGAACACACACGCACACGGCACCCGCATGAACATGAACCGAGTAACACACGGCGTTGAACATGATCTCGGAATAAAATCCGAACTATTTGCTAATCTCGTGATTAAGTTAAATTAATCACTTAATTATGTCTAATTATCCAATTAAACATAATGCTTAATTACCAAAATTATTTCGAACGTAAACGGTACGTCGAAAATAGTTCCGGTAATTTTGACTGAAATAACTGAAAATAATTAACTTCGAAAAAAATAATATCGGAACTGAAATATTATTATACTGATAAAAGTTGGGATATTACAGGTATAGACTCGGGCCTGACCCCCAGCCCTCTGCTGGTGTGGTGGGGGCTGCCTGTGCTGCTGCTGCTGCTGGTAAGGTGGAGGAGGAAGCTGCTGCTGCTGATGGGGCTGCTGATAAGGCTGCTGCCTCGGGGGTTCGGGGCAGTGGCTGAAGAAGTGACCAGGCTTCATGCGGTTGAAGCAGACCTTCTGAGTGAAATGGCAATCTCCGTGATGATAGCGGCCACACTTATGGCATTTCGGGTTCTGACCATGGGCAGCTGGTGGAACGACGGCGGTCTGGTGCCCCATGCTTTCCCTTCTGGTTATTCCGGTAGGAATCAAACTTTCTCTTACCCGAACTAGAGCCGGGTGGTGCAGAGGAAATATGCTGAACTAGCTGAGCAGAAGGGACGGAAGCATCGAGAGTCTGATAACTCTCAAGCTGGACGGCTCGGATAACGGTCTCATCAAATGAAAGATTTCCCTAGCTAGCAACATCCATACGGAGAGTTCGGTTCAGTCCATCTCGGAACTTGTGGGCCTTATTCAGGTCGGTGTCCACCATATGTGGAGCAAAGGCGCTCATGCGGGTGAACTCTCGCTCGTACTCCTCAACTGATCCTGCTCCATGCTTGAGGTCCCAGAAAGCGCGCTCCATCCTCATGCGATAACTTTGAGGATAATATTTCTCCATGATCACCTCCTTCATGCGATCCCAAGTCAGGGCATTAAACTCCGCCTGCCTCAACCTCCAATAGCCGGACCACCAAAGGGCGGCATCGCCCTTCAGCATATAGCGGCCACAGAGGCATCGGTGCACTGCAGCAAATCAAAATTCTGCTCTAACTGACGGATCCACTCGGCCACGGCTTCGGGCCCTTCGACCCCGGTGAAAGTCGGCGGTGTCAACTGGCGAAACGTAATCACAATGTTGAGATGAGTCCCAGCCGGATTGGGAGCCTGCTGGTGAGGTGGAGATGGGGATGGGGACGGAGGTGGAGACGGAGTAGGCTGACGGTTGCGAGCATTACGACGAGCCATAGTTCTACATTGAAAGTGGGTCGAACAGTTTAGCACAATAATAAAAGAAGTCTAGAGTTCAACATTAGAGTTCGAATTTAAAGGTGGATTAGTCCTAACCCCGATTTTATTCCAATAATCAATAATCAACCAATATACAATAATCTCAAAGTCATTCAGGTACTCATACCTGAGCTGGCGCGGCACAACGAGAGCGAGTGGTCTTAACATGAATTTGAAACACATAATCACATAATCAACTTTTTATACTTAAACCAGTCTACAGAAACGCAGACTGGCTCTGATACCAAACTGTAACGCTCCACTTTTATTTACCAAACATCAGAACAAATTTTTCGAAATTTATTTTCAAAAACAATATTTGTGGCGTTACTCATTTTTAAAACATTAATCAATGCTAAACACATTCTCAATATTCAGCAATAATCAATACTCATAATCCATAATAAAATTCCAATAATGCAAATCCAATAATAATCCTAGGGAAATAATTCCCATCAATAATTCAATAATCCGGTACTAGTGAAAAACAATAATCAATAATGCAGTAATATCCAAGTTCAGTTTTTCAAGGCGGAAGCATTTATTCAATTTAAAGACCACCACTCGCATCCCTTCCGTCGTGC